GATATAAAACTTTGTTTATGTTTAATTGAAAAATATGAAATGTGGAAGTATTAATAGATCTTTAGTTAATTACATTCTTCAAAAATTTTGAAAAAAAAACTCTTTTCTTAAAGAAAATTAAAAAAATCGTTTTTCTCATGTGGTCACTCCTATTTTTTTGTGGACAACTGTATGTGTAACTATTATATTGAGCAATTTTTTTCCTGAGAATTCACGCATTAATTCGGGGAATCACATGCTTCATTCTCTTAGAAAGGGCGATGCCATCTTATTTAATTAAACTTACAGCATAATTTGTAGCTTACAGCCCATAAAAAGTTTTTTAAATTGTTGAGAGTACTAAGTTTTATCGTGTAACTATTGATTTGAGCAGGTGTGTACATACTTTGCTTATGTATGAAATACCTTTTTGTTTCTCTTATAGAAATTAATATTAGTATTAATTCTATTTTATTGTTAGTATAAGTCGAGTCTTTTGCGTTTTTATATAACGATTTGAAGTTTATAAAAACAATTTCAATATATTATATTTCTTAAAAATTCCTTTAATTATTAAAATATTAAAATCCTATTTCTAAAGCTTATTAGCAAGTATTGAACACAATTCATTATATTTTAGTCAAACCCCACATTTGGAAATTTTAAGGTTAGATTGGGCACTATATGTAGACGATTACAATTACGGCGGTACAAGTTATATAAAACTATTTTTAACGATCTGAAATATATATATATTTTTTTTTTGTGAAAATTTTCAGATTGACTCCCCGTTCTAAGTTTTAAATTTGAAATAATCTTTTAGAAACCGCATTTTGCACATCATTATTTAATCACACTTATTTTTTTACTATTGTATTTTTCTAACAGTAGTTTTTGCATATGTCTTCTCGTCCACAGTTCGTTGTTGGCGTTTACTACCAATCTGGGTTGCCCAAACTTGTTCCGGTAACTTTGGTATGTGTTTGCCTGTCGGATGATAACCATCGGCATCGGCTACATATGTCATCGTGATGGGTATGCCTTCTGCCGAAATGTACTGCACCACACCACTATGGCCGAACTTATTTCCCGCTGCTTTTGTTGTGATGCCGTTGGATGTTTGGAATTCGTAATGAAAATCACCGCTTTCACTCGGTGCTTGGTTTTTGTAGTATATGATGTGTGCATCACGATCAAGTGGTTTTACAGCCGCATACACAGGTTGCAAGTGTTGTACAAAGATATCACAGATGACTACACACAAGAGGAGACGTTTAAACTGCAAATGGAAGAGAGAAGAGAAGAGAGCAACTATTTATTATCCATAAAGGACTATAGTTAAGCCAGTTAAATTAAGCGGTGCATTAAGAACAAACCGTTGTTTGGAATTGTCCAACTATGCTGTATCGAATTTTACGTGTCACCCGTATTTTAAACAACATTCCCATTATTTGATTCGTAATAGCGTCCAATGACACAGCTGACGGGAAATGAATATATTCTGAAAGCACCGTCCGGAAGTTCAGTTAGCAGCACGTTTATTTGTTTTTCCATACACATACAACACAATGAATCTGCCGCTGGCGGATTCGTAACGAAATGAAGCGGGTTTCTGGCGCGATGGAAGCTTTTATAGATGCGTCGCTGATATGCAAATTAATTCGGCAAACAATTCTTAAAAGAAGAGAAAAATTGTCGTCGTTAATTAGTTTAGTGTCACAAAAACGACATATCCATCCCTCTGCAAGTTGTTTATGTCAACTCGAGTGTTTAATGCGACGTGACGCCTGCGTATTTCACTCATCAAGCACTGAGCAATAGTAATGCATGCAACAACCGCTATGTAGAGTGCGCTTTGATCGTTAGGAATCTTGTTTGGCACGTTTGTTGAATATGTGTCTTTTGCGGAATTAAATAAATATTATGTAATGCTTAATTTCAACCATATTAATTGAACTGACCGATGGAGTTGTCAACTGATCGCTGCATAAATCATAAACATCATCAGAAAATCTACTTAATTCACCAATTTCTACATACTGTGCATTTGGAAGCACGTGATGCTATAGAAGTAGCCCTATGGAGCGAGAATATTTATATCAGTATCAAATAAATAAAATCTTCATTTGTGCGCCGATATGGCAGCCACTAACTAAAGTCCTAAGTGTTATAATTTGCAGGTAGACTGATGAAATGGTAGTTTTATTGGTTGTAGTTGTAATGCTTATCTAATCTCCGTTTGGGTGTGGGCTCCGGATACATGCTGTATAGACTGGATCAGACCATGCACAGAGGTGGCTCAAGTCATGCGGGACCCGTAGCATGCTGAACATACATATATTTCGTTCGGGTAGATTCTGGATAAGGAGTTTGACCTGCGACAGTTCCAGAATGAAGTTCTGCAAGGGTCACTCTAGATTCTAGCGGCAACTCGAGCTCGTCGTCTGCAATGGGTGGTGGTTTGACTCCAATTCCGCCATTCACTGAGAAGAAGGAGTTTATGGCTTCACTGTGAAGAAAGTTAAGAAAAGATCCCTTCATATTATAGTCCGGATTGCTGTGTTCTGTCATGTTTAAAGTTTCTTCGTCTGCATTTCACTGCATCCAGGCGTATTGGTGCGGCGTAGTTAAGGACCGGCTTTTTTTTTGTCTTTTCCCCATGTTCTGCCTTCCATTTTTTGCCACCCGTACATTGACAGTTATCGCGGTCGTATGAGGGCTGTCGAATGTTACACTGAAAATCTTTGGATTTTTAACAGTCGGAATTTTAACGTCATCAACTGCAATGTTAAAGTGACTGTACTCCTTCGACCAGTTTAGTGAATATGGTCGGTGTGGGGTAGAAGCGAGGAAGGTTGAGGAGATCGAAATTCTCTCAGGTGGTTGAAGGGGCTTCGAAATGTGAAAATTAAACAGTAACGCAGTGAGGATACCAATCTGTTAAAATTGTCGACCACTCAGGCAGTTCATGGTTCACCTTTTCAGCCTTGGATCGAGCGCGAATTGTCAATGGTCTCAAGTAGCATGGTGTGGTTTAAGTGAATTTCAACTGTTCATAATGGGAATCATTTTGCTTGTTTAAGCGCGTGGGAACTGCAAATAGCCTTAATTGAATTTATTTAATGTTGGCTGTGAAATTGCAGTAATATTCCGAAATAACCAATATTCGTTTTAACCAAACCCGCTTATAATGAACAAGTAAATTTTTTAGATTGAGTACCTTAAATAATGAAACAACACAGAGAATACATAAATTGTGAAAAAAGTATCCGGAAATTGTAAATAAAGCTCAAAGTATTTAATTATCCATCAATATTTGTTTTGTCGCTTCCAAAATTATCCCCTCCAGATGAATTAGTTAATTTATTTATCTCTTCGATTGTTTGAAAACGGGTTTCATTCGCATGATCAAGCATGCCCAAAGCCCTGTTGACAGACCGCGCAAATATTTGTATAGGTGAGTGTCTAGTCTCTATGAAAAGTGCTTGAGGAAGTGAAGAGGAGGTACAAATTCAAATGTACATATGTATATCAAATGTATATAAGAGTCTTGCTTTTAAAGTTTTACTAGGACGTTAGCATGAGAATGCAAGTTAATAATTTTTAGTCGAACTTCCTCCACAAGTTTTTGAGATATGAAAATTAATCGACTTTTCATTTAGAGAACAATCTCATTTAGTGAGGTTCATGGAGTTTTTACTCTATTTACTTGGTTAGAACCTTAGTTTGAAGTTCGTTAAACATTTTTCACTTTAAGTTTTGACACTGAACTCTAATTTGTCTTTCTCAGCTATCAGAACAATTGTGGCGAATTATACGTGAAAGATGCAATAAGTGCGCACGCAGCCATACATACATACACAATATACTTATACTATTCGCAATCTTGTGGGCTAAAATATTAAGCGAACTAAGTTCTACTGTCGTTTGACAATGATAGTAAAAAGTCGTCATTAAAAAAATTACGAAATTGAATTTTTTTTCCTAAGATTTTATAGATATTAATGAAAACCGGTCTTCAAATATCAAAACAATCAACTTAATTGGAAGTGTAATTTATTATACTCTCGCAACATAATGCAACAGAGTATATTTTTTTTTTAGTTTTAAAATAAAAAAAGACCAAGCAACATTTTACTTCATTTTACTCTGTAGTGCGTATGTTTAATATTAAAAAAATTACCTAAAGCATACATACATTTGAAGAAATTACTTCTAACTTTGAGCTGAGTATATACATGTATATAAATAACTGTATATACGAGGTTAGTTCAAAAAGTATCACATTTTTTTTTTTTTTTTTTTTTTTTTTTCTTTTTTTTTTTTTTTTTTTTTTTTTTTTTTTTTGAAAGTACTTATTTATTCATGCATATCTATTCTGTTCCCTTCAAAGATTTATTTCCAAGATGGCACTTCTGTCAGCGTTTTTTCCAATCCTCAAAGCGCTTAAAAAGTCATTTTTATAGATCTTATTTACTTTTTCTTCCTTGCAGTTTTTATATCCAATCGTAACGTAGCGTCGTTGCTTAATGTGTCTCCTATGTTTCGCTAATTGCCGGTTCTGTGACAGGGAGCCTGAAACTCCGGCCCTTGGGTCGATGTTTCCAGATAGGGATCGCATTGCCTCGCTAGCGCCCGGTAATCTTCTGGACTTCATTAATGAGCTGGGCCTAGGCGAGTCAAAGTGAGTCAGGAGAGGGCACAATAGACCAAAGGTCGCGGTGCATTCCTCATCTTTATTGATTCATATCTTTCGAGAATAAAAAAATCACAAGGCCCAGAGCTAGAGAGCGTGAACATTAGCATTATTATGGTCCAAAAGCCATTTTTTTTTGTAACAAATTCGGAATTTTCTGGCGGATGGTAATATTCTTTATTCGTACGACCATTTTCATTGCATTCAACTTAATTTTGTTTTTCACACAAAATGTATACAGATCCTTTGATCCATTTTTTGGAATAAGCAAAACTCGATTACGATCCAAAGCCTGACCAAGCAAAGCACATGTCAAAATTTAACTATACACTCAAAATGGTCAACCCTGTCAGCATAAATAAGGGATATGAGCACCAACATAAAGCAACAAAACAATCAAAAATCGAATACAAGTAGCGATACTTTTTGTACAAACCTTGTATATATGATCAGCTTGAGGGGCTGAATAGATTTCGCCATATCCGTCCATCCGTTCGTCTGTCTGTCTGTTTGTATATAGGCGAGCTAATCCTCTAGTTTTGAGATATAGATCTTATATTTTAATGCCGACTGTTGAAAATAGCTCCCATCCTAATCGAACGGTCCGAATCCCGTTCTTGTGTGTGTGGTGCAACCGAAGTAACATTTCTTCTTTTTTCTTGTTTCTTGTTTACTTTCTCAGAGTTTAGGTGTTAAAAGTTCTCAAGTTGGAGATTGTTGATCTATATTTTATACTAGTTCATCTTATAACAAGAGATATACACTCGATTTCGTTAAGTGACCTTTCTTACCATCTAATATATTCACTATCAATATAGATGTTAGATTAAAATTCTACCGAATTCATACATTTTCGACAATATACTAACTTTAATCTTCTTATTCTTACACGAAATAAAACTCGGAAAAAAGACAACATGTCCGACATTCATAGTACGTAGGCTAAGCGAAGGATTTAGTCCATACAACGTTTTTATTACTATTTTCATACGTTTTCTTTCAAACCCAGTAAGTTTAAAAGACCGGACCCGGACACTATTTTGGTAATATTTCGTTAAAATTATCTTTAATAAACCGACAAGATTCCAAAACATGTGTAAAAAAAATTGTGTACAATTTACGATTCTCGACTTTTAAAATTCTTATTAATTTCCGTTGTTTTTAGACAGTTTTACTATATTAAAGAACAATACGGAAAATGTTTGCGTTGGCTCAACGTAAACTTATGGGATAATTGTCATTCAATCGCATCGTGACCTAAGGTTCTATTTCACAACGCCGGACTTAGTCCCAGCATACAGGTATTGATAAATTCAAATATACTGATAAGTGATATTGAGGCAATGTGATCCTTATTTGGAAACATGGATCCAAGGGTCTTTATCCTGCGCCTACGGACTGCAGTGCAGTCAATTAATAGGTCTTCTGCAGTTTCAGGCTCCATGTCGCTGGCAATTTGCACAAGAAATTAGGCCCATATTATATAAGTGTTTCTTGAGCTTACACTGACCAGTGTAGAAACCGATATGTAGCCTGAGTTTGTCCCTTGGGATGTTGATAATATATATATTTAAATCTTTTAAGGTTGTAAACACTCATTAGCAACTTGGCATGTCAATACCCCTCTCTTCCCACTCTTTCATCCTTGCGCAGTAGCTTCTTTATGGCATGGGTACCGACCGCAATGAAAGGATCGGGTCCTACTATGTTGGTGGATGCTGCGGAGAGGGTGAGCTCAGCAACCAATTCATTCTAGTCTATACTTTTGTGACCGCGCACCCAGATAAGGTGCGATTGGCTACGATCTGATAGACTGTTCGACCGTTTTACACATTCCTGTAGCAATAACGATTTGATCTGGTACGCAGAAACCGCTTTAAGTGCTGCTTGACTGTCGTTGAGTCTACGTGCATTGTGATGGTTGCGTTGTAGTTTTATCTCTACGCACCGACTTATAGCAAAGACCTCTGCTTGGAATATGCTCGGAAAACTGCTCATAGGTTTAGAGAGTTTGGTGGGTGATCCTGCGACTCCTGCACCAATTCCCTCCGGCGTTTTTGAGCCGTCGGTGTACCAATTATTTGTACTATCCCTTAGCAGTAGCTCGAGAGCGAAATCATCTTGGTAGAAGAGCCAGTGGTCTTTCGCTACTTAAGTCCTTCATACGCTGGGAAGAGATTACCTTACCTCTGCCAAACCCTCCTGCTATCATTTAAAGCAGTGTGTTGTTGGCTTCCTGACCGATTACTAGGTGATGTGGTGTGAGTACCAGCATTAGTTCAAGTGCCGCCGTCGCATATGTGCAAATGGCATCCGACATGCAGATGCAGGCGAGTCGTTGCAGTTTCGATAGTTGAAGTCCTACCGAAGTATTTTATTTCATTTATAATACCATATATGATTTCGTTAAGAAAGGAGGTTTCAAACTACTAAAAATGAAGCGATAGTATAGAGATTGCAA